TTTTCACAGAGACACAGTCAGGTGTGCAACAAATTCTTAGGTTTTTCGATTGCCTGGATTCGTCAAAAATTATAGCAATGAGCTACTGAACTGTGGATTCTGCGCAGTAGTTTTCGACCTGTTTTCTGCTCTCAACCGAGTTTTAGGTTGGCCAATGGTTTTTCGGCACTTTACAGGTCTAGAAAGTTATTCAGTTGGCATATTAGCCGAATTATCGGTCTGTGCAAAGTTCTTCATATTGTATTGCTTCGTCCACCTGGATGGCAGCTGTTGGCGGTGTTCTACCTAAACCCTCATCTTATACGGATGGGTTCTCACATCTGTAATGCTCCTCGGTTCCCTCAATGGATCTTCATTGGACTGTGGGGTATGAGAGAAGACGGGAGAAGCGGAGCGAACTCCGTTGCAGCATTTTTAAGTTAGACAGCATTCCTATTTCGTCTGCATTCGGGGCATATAATAGCATCTTTGATCTACTAGGAAGGTATGCGGCAGTGAGATCTAGCGTACGGCGCGTTTTGAGCCAGCTTTTTAAGCGACTAAGAGTGTATAGGTATCGGCAACTAGGAAAGCATGATATAGAGCTACCGTTCTGAGCTCACGACAGCGTTTTCAGCGTTTCGCGAGTAGATTTGAGCTTTTCGCGGGCACTGGCTGAAAACGCTGGTGTACGCACGAATCGCCGACGCAGATTATGAACGCAGCGTAACACTGGAGAGAAGAAGGCTCGAAGAACAAAAGAGTCGATCGATTCCCATCATCTGTTCCCTTGGCTCCATGTACTCCCTTCGTGCACAATCTCCCAGTCTCTTAATTTTGCACAATTTCCAATGAGCTTATTTTATTGCTTTGTGTTGCAAAAAGGCGGATATATTCACTGCAGAAGTTGGAGAATGTGAAGGATATACGCAGTCTTTTCGTTCCTACAGTTCACCAACAGTTGCTTGTTGTGTTGTTGTTTTTCAGGGACTGATTTCTGGTTTCAGGCCACAATGATTCGTGCGGGTCGATGGCCACATTGGCGGAAGGAGCGCCTCTTTCAGTGCACTACTGTACGTTTTCCCCTTCGTGAATATCACAGCGGAGGCCTCAAACACACAGAGACAAACGTATCTTCTGTGTGTTTGACTGCCTCCCTTCCACTGATTCTCTGGTTCCATACGTACAGCCTCTGATTTCCTCTATAGCCTATGGAGAAAACCTGCACCTTGAAAGTATCTTTCGGGTTCTCTCCTCAAGTAACAGTAGTTCCCTCATTAAAGTTCGTCATGTTTCCAAGTTCAAAACGTATTTCCCACACTGAGAGGTGTGGGCGATAATATGCGTAATAACGAAATGATTCTCTTCCTATCAGTACCACACACTTTTCTCTTGTTCGTTTGCAGTATGGACAAGTGTTGCGTTCCGTACCGTAAGCACCTACCCTGGACTCGTCCCTCGAACTCGTTTCTTCCGATACCCCGGCTTGAGCCTGAGATATGCCTAGGTATAAATAAAAGAGCTGAAGAATGATGCCCCCACTCATCGGGCAGTCTTTCGCGGACACCAATGCTCTGAAGCGGGAGCCCAAAGCTCTGAAGAGGAAGTGAGATCTCAATGTCTATGTGAACTCAGCTTGAGGGGATGCGGCTCGTGAAGATGTTGGAGAGAAGCTGCTTTCACAGTCAATCTTTATACAAAACAGCTGCGAGATCTGAAGCGAATCGTCCATTAGAAGAAAAGATTTCTACACAGTCTGCCTTCACATGACACTGCAGCTCATACCCTCCAAAAGGGATCGAACTGAACCTAATGCAACAGGCTGGATGGTTTCCCTTTGCGCTGATATAGCCAGGTCATGGTTTCTTCTAGCTGCTACTTAACGATAAATGATTAAAGATTTCTTATTGTTGAGAATTACGATACAAGGGCGGCAGCAAAAAAACAGCAAGCAGGTACGATACGTGCGCAGGGGAGGAATAGGTTGGATCAGCTTCCATGATAAGTTGTCTCCCGAACTATCCATTACATGGATGAGCAGAGCTTCACCACCCGAGCCCTAGTCATAATCGAGATGATGTCTAACGTTGAGTCGTGCCGGTCTGCATTGTGAGGTGATGGCATCCTTAGGGAACTCCCGAAACTGGCAGAAACCCCGCAGTAACAATGCTCTGTGTCTATAATTCGGTGCGAAAAAAAAGCATATTTCGTGAGAAAAAAACGTTAGAACGTTGAGTTGCAGAACATTTCCACATGAAAACATTTTAGTTTTTCGTAGTGTAGAACCTCGCGACGCAGACCCTACCCTCTATGACAATAAACACTACTTATAGGGAACGCTTCGTATTGAGAAAAACACTTCGTTTGTAAGTGATTTCCCTATCTACTCTATCTATTTAGCCGTTAGCGTGCTAATTTCAGGTTGACATACCTTATTATTTGCGTGGCTTCGCTGATTTCAACTCAAGTACGCCATTAGCTCAACTTCTTTTCGTCATCGATCAGCCTGAAGTGATTGAATGGAAAGGCCTTCCCAAAGAGTATGTTCATCATCAAAAGCTACGTCTTGTTTATGACGAGCTGCTCTTTATAGCGTGTTTTCTAATCCACGTAAACTTGGTGAAGGCGTGTACGGTGAAGTTTTTGCCACCAAGTATAAAGGGAAGCCAACCGCTCTCAAGGTAAAAGATTCAATTCCTTCACGACATTTACGTATTTGCAGTCGTGTTTTGTAGCCTTTGAATGAACCTAAAACTGAACTAAACCAAAACTAAAACAGCAACGATTTGACCACTACGTGAAGCAATATTATATCTATTGAACGTGTTCACAAGCTAGAATGTCGCTGGGCATAGCACTGTTATATCACTGGATTACACTTATTACCACGGTTTGAATACCTAGATAATCCCTGGCGCATTTTCGCGACGAAAGAGGCATTCTGCTTTTTAGCTGATTCACGGCTTTCGGTTGACAAGTCTCACTCTATTGAAATAAACTGTTTTGAAGCTGGAGCAAGCTCATTGAACCACTGTGGTGAAATCTTCAACTTTCGAATCCCCTCCCCCCTGCCGTCGCCATACCACCCTTAACCCTATTCCAAGAGTTCTTGTTAAGGAACGTGTGGCAGTGGCAACTTTCCCTACAAACAGAGGGAAGCCATATTAAATTTCAGCCGGTTATTCTGCTTTGCTATTCCGGCAATCAATGTTGGTTTTTGGTTTTTGTAAGCTGTAGAAAAGATTCCTCTCGTCGCCCTAACAGTAGAGTCATCTCCTTCTTTACCTCTTTTTTATCGTTGTGCTTCTTTTCACAAAAATGTTTTTCAAGGTTATACCGTTCCATGGTGATACAGTTGTATACAAGGAGAAGGTGAATGGCGAATACTTGCTTGATGCGGCTAGCATACTGCCAGAGGTATTTAGTCCACTATATTATTTCCACATAAATCACTTAACATAACAAAAAAGGCAGTGGAATGTGATATAATCATTAAACGGTCGGTGATACTGTGATAAAATATATTGCCTCATATTTGAACCTATGAAGGTGCCCACGAGACATAGTAAAAGGTTGCCAGAAGATAGAAGAATGTGCAGTAGCGATGTAAACTATTCGGAGACAAACCGTACACTCGTCACCGTGGATCCTGGTCATTGCCCTATGAGGGAAGCATGTGTTCGCACTTGTGGTCGCGTGCCTTTTTCTGACCCCTCTAAGCGTGCCTTTAAAACTGAAGAGGAGAGGGTAAAGATACCCGGGGGTCGGCTTCCTGCTCCGCCCGCAATGGTGCGGCCGGTCACACGCCTAACCCTAGCCAAACGCGCTACTTGTTTACCTGTCGGCTTTTGGTTTTCCGGAGCGTAACTTAGAATTGACATAATAACTGGGAGTGAGGACATTTCTATCATTATCGACAATCATATAGTAAGCTTAAATTGGACAACCTCTCGCGTAGTTTTCTGAAATTTTTATGATGGCGTTGTGGTGGTACTCCTTGACCGCATAATGTTTGATGCTGATGAGTCATTCATTGTTGTCAGAGTTTCTCGTCGTCGTCAAGGACCTATAATGAAACAATGAAAAGATCCATCATCACAAACCTTGTAAGGCAAGGTGTAGGATTACCACACTCGTAACTGACGCATTTTTGTTCTCCTAGTACGGATTCGCGTTACAGATTCTCATCAACCGTGAACTTTCCGCTCTTTTTGATCCTTCTGCTGAGTTCAGTACACCAAATTTCATCCAATTGCTCAATACACATGTTGTCAGAGGTAACTATCCTTCTTCGGACTAGGACTTTTTTGTCTCGACTGTTGTCAAAATGTAGCATAACGGTCGGTCTTGCAGGCTTATATCCAGAGAAGTTTATGGTCGCGTGGAACGAGTTTGATGAAGCGAATGGATCAGAGAATGATCCTCCCTCTGATTATGCTAGTGAACAGCAGTTATTCGTGGTAATGGGAATGGCTATGGGAGGCGTTGACCTGGAGCATTATCAGGTTTTGAACTAGCACTAGAGGAATCCGTAAGAGACATTTTCATTGAGAACTAATGTCACCAGATTTCAGATGAAGGACGAAAACCAGGTGATGTCGGTGTTGCTACAAATTGCCGTCTCTCTGGTTGTCGCTGAAGAACGGCTTCAATTCGAACACCGCGATCTGCACATTGGAAACGCCCTAGTCTCAGAAAGCAAAGATGACATAGAGTAAGTAAGGAAGCGTTCATACTTTGCGCACATTCGAGCGTTCTTTCAGTGTTGTGAGGCCACTAGGAATTTAGGTATGTATCGATCAAGGTTTTGAGCGTCCGCAGCTTTGAGCGTCCGGTTAGCGTTTGAAGCACTCTGCCTGCCGTTTCCAGCAAACAATAGATATTCCAAACGCTAAACGGACGCTCAAAAGCTGGCGGACGCCCAAACTCTGATCATACCTATAAATCTCCTTAGTGCTCAAAAACACTGAAAGTGACGCTCGCAAATGCTGCCGCCAAAGCTATGAAACGCCTGCCTTACCTTACTCTATGTCATCTTTGCTTTCTGAGACTAGGGCGTTTCCAATGTGCAGATCGCGGTGTTCGAATTGAAGCCGTTCTTCAGCGACAACCAGAGAGACGGCAATTTGTAGCAACACCGACATCACCTGGTTTTCGTCCTTCATCTGAAATCTGGTGACATTAGTTCTCAATGAAAATGTCTCTTACGGATTCCTCTAGTGCTAGTTCAAAACCTGATAATGCTCCAGGTCAACGCCTCCCATAGCCATTCCCATTACCACGAATAACTGCTGTTCACTAGCATAATCAGAGGGAGGATCATTCTCTGATCCATTCGCTTCATCAAACTCGTTCCACGCGACCATAAACTTCTCTGGATATAAGCCTGCAAGACCGAAAGTTATGCTACATTTTGGCAACAGTCGAGACAAAAAAAGTCTAGTCCGAAGAAGGATAGTTACCTCTGACAACATGTGTATTGAGCAATTGAATGAAATTTGGTGTACTGAACTCAGCAGAAGGATCAAAAAGAGCGGAAAGTTCACGGTTGATGAGAATCTGTAACGCGAATCCGTACTAGGAGAACAAAAATGCCGTCAGTTACGAGTGTGGTAATCCTACACCTTGCCTTACAAGGTTTGTGATGATGGATCTATTTCATTTATTCATTATAGGTCCTTGACGACGACGAGAAACTCTGGCAGCAATAAATGACTCCATCACATCAAACATTATGAGGCCATAGGGTAACACACAACGCCATCATAAAATTTCAAGAAAAACCTACCCGAGAGGTTGTATTTAAACTTACTATTAGATTGTCGGATATGATAGAAATGTCCTCACTCCAGTTATATTCAATCTAATTACGCTCCGAAAAACAAAACGACAGTCGTAAACAAGTAGCGCTTCTTGGCCTAGGGGTTTAGGCGCTGTGACCGGCCGCCACACATGCGGGCGCAGCAGGGAGCCGACCCACGGGTATCTTTACCCTCTCCTCTTCAGTTTTAAAGGCACGCTTAGAGGGGTCAGAAAAGGCACGCGACCACAAGTGCGAACACCATCCTTCCCTCATAGGGCAATGACCAGGATCCACGGTGACGAGTGTACGGTTTGTCTCCGAATAGTTTACATCGCTACTGCACATTCTTCTATCTTCTGGCAACCTTTTACTATGTCTCGTGGGCACCTTCATAGGTTCAAATATGAGGCAATATATTTTATCACAGTATCCACCGACCGTTTAATGATTATATCACATTCCACTGCCTTTTTTGTTTGTTAAGTTGATTATGTGGGAAAAATAAATATAGTGGACTAAATACCTCTGGCAGTATGCTAGCCGCATCAAGCAAGTATTCGCCATTCACCTTCTCCTTGTATACAACTGTATCACCATGGAACGGTATAACCTTGAAAAACATTTTTGTGAAAAGAAGCACAACGATAACAAAAAGAGGTAAAGAAGGAGATGACTCTACTGTTAGGGCGACGAGAGGAATCTTTTCTACAGCTTACAAAAACCAAACACATATATGCCGGAAATAGCAAATACGAAATAACCGGCTGAAATTTAATATGGCTTCCCTCTGTTTGTAGGGAAAGTTGCCACTGCCACACGTTCCTTAACAAGAACTCTTGGAATAGGGTTAAGGGTGGTATGGCGACGGCCAGGGGGGGGGGAGGATTCGAAAGTTGAAGATTTCACCACAGTGGTTCAATGAGCTTGCTCCAGCTTCACAACAGTTTATTTCAATAGAGTGAGACTTGTCAACCGAAAGCCGTGAATCAGCTAAAAAGCAGAATGCCTCTTTCGTCGCGAAATGCGCCAGGGATTATCTAGGTATTCAAACCGTGGTAATAAGTGTAATCCAGTGATATAACAGTGCTATGCCCAGCGACATTCTAGCTTGTGAACACGTTCAATAGATATAATATTGCTTCACTAGTGTGTCACAATCATTGCTGTTTTAGTTTTGGTTTAGTTCAGTTTTAGGTTCATTCAAAGGCTACAAAACACGACTGCAAATACGTAAATGTTGTGAAGGAATTGAATCTTACCTTGAGAGCGGTTGGCTTCCCTTTATAATTGGTGGCAAAAACTTCACCGTACACGCCTTCACCAAGTTTACGTGGATTAGAAAACACGCTATAAAGAGCAGCACGTCATAAACAAGACGTAGCTTTTGATGATGAACATACTCTTTGGGAAGGCCTTTCCATTCAATCACTTCAGGCTGATCGATGACGAAAAGAAGTTGAGCTAATGGCGTACTTGAGTTGAAATCAGGCCGAAAAAGCCACGTAAATAAACTAGGGAGGATATTCAACCTGAAATTAGCACGCTAAACGGCAAATAGATAGGTAGATAGGAAATCACTTACAAACGAATGTCGTTTCCTCAATACGAAAGCGTTCTATAAGTAGTGTTATATTTCATAGAGTAGCGTTGCGTCCGAGGTTCTATAACGAAAAAAAACTAAATTAGTTTTCATGTGGAAATGTTCTGCAACTCAACGTTCTAACGTTTTTTTTCACGAAATATGCTTTTTTTCGCACAAATTATAGACACAGAGCATTGTTACTGCGGGGTTTCTGCCAGTTTCGGGTTCCCTAAGGATGCCATCACCTCACAATGCAGAGCGGCACGACTCAACGTTAGACATCATCTCGATTATGACTAGGGCTCGGGTGGTGAAGCTCTGCTCATCCATGTAATGGATAGTTCGGGAGACAACTATCATGGAAGCTGATCCAACTAGTCCTCCCTCCACGTATCGTACCTGCTTGCTGTTTTTTTGCTGCCGCCCTTGTATCGTAATTCTCAACAAATAAGAAATCTTTAATCATTTATCGTTAAGTAGCAGCTAGAAGAAACCATGACCTGGCTATATCAAGCCCGGCCACAAAAAAGGGAAACCAATCAGCCTGCTTTGCCATTAGCCGGTTCAGGTGTCGATCCCTTTTGGAGCGGTATGCAGCGCAGTGTCATGTGAAGGCAGACTGTGTAGAAATCTTTTCTTCTAATGGACGATTCGCTTCAGATCTCGAAGCTGTTTTGTATAAAGATTGACTGTGAAAGCAGCTTCTTCTCCCAACATCTTCACGAGCCGCATCCCCTCAAGCTGAGTTCACATAGACATTGAGATCTCACTTCCTCTTCAGAGCTTTGGGCTCCCGCTTCAGAGCATTGGTGTCCGCGAAAGACTGCCCGATGAGTGGAGGCATCATTCTTCAGCTCTTTTAGTTACACCTAGGCATATTTCAGGCTCAAGCCGAGGTATCGGAAGAAACGAGTTCAAGGGACGAGTCCAGGGTAGGTGCTTACGGTACGGAACGCAATACTTGTCCATATTGCAAACGAACAAGAGAAAAGTGTGTGGTACTGAATAGGAAGAGAATCATTTCGTTATTACGCATATTATCGATCACACCTTCTTCGCTCGGCTGCATACAGGGGCGCGGTCGCGACAGGTGGGAGGGGCGATGTGGCGTGTCGAGGCCGGTGGGGGCGGGGGGTGTGGTGGGCAAATATTTTGAACTTGGAAAACTATGACGGAACTTTACTGACTGTTACTTGAGGAGAGAACCCGAAAGATACTTTCAAGGTGCAGGTTTTCTCCATAGGCTATAGAGGAAATCAGAGGCTGTACGTATGGAACCAGAGAATCAGTGGAAGGGAGACGTCAAACACACAGAAGATACGTTTTCCTCTGTGTGTTCTTGAGCCTCCCTGTGATATTCACGAAGGCGGAAAACGTACAGTAGTGCACTGAAGAGGCGCTCCTTCCGCCAATGTGGCCATCGACCCGCACGAATCATTGTGGCCTGAAACCAGAAATCAGTCCCTGAAAAACAACAACACAACAAGCAACTGTTGGTGAACTGTAGGAACGAAAAGACTGCGTATATCCTTCACATTCTCCAACTTCTGCAGTGAATATATCCGCCTTTTTGCAACACAAAGCAATAAAATAAGCTCATTGGAAAATTGTGCAAAATTAAGAGACTGGGAGATTGTGCACGAAGGGAGTACATGGAGCCAAGGGAACAGATGATGGGAATCGATCGACTCTTTTGTTCTTCGAGCCTTCTTCTCTCCAGTGTTACGCTGCGTTCATAATCTGCGTCGGCGATTCGTGCGTATCATCGCAGCGTTTTCAGCGCACTCCTAAGTTGGCCCGCGAAAAGCTCAAATCTACTCGCGAAACGCTGAAAACGCTGTCGTGAGCTCAGAACGGTAGCTCTATATCATGCTTTCCTAGTTGCCGATACTATACCACTTCTTGTCGCCTTAAAATAGCTGGCTCAAAACGCCGCCGTACGCTAGATCTATGCCCATACCTTCCTAGTAGATCAAAGATGCTATTATATGCCCCGACGAATGCAGACGAAATAGGAATGCTGCCTAACTTAAAAATGCTGCAACGGAGTTCGCTCCCATTCTCCCACGTCCCTCCCACCGCCACAGGTTCGAGGGACACAATCCAAGCAAACAGTCGTCGCGAAGTATTGATACACATGACCTTTTTACAAAAAGTAGAAACAACCGCAAGAGAAAAGCTTAATAGTACAGGGCAGACACACAGAGAGCATCGAAGAGATACGTCAAAGGCGGTGCCCAGGCTGAGTCGATCCGCAGTCAGCCATGGGCATCAATCTGAACGGCAGAACATGATCTTCAAGTACCGAACCCTCAAACCATCTCTCCTGCTATTTCGCCGCATTTTTACCTTCACGAGTTGAATCTGATTTCTCCTCTTTTGATCTACGAGTAGGTGAATGACTAGGTGGAATTACTGGCAGAACGCAATCGTTGAGGTCATCAAAGCTGTCCCTTGTACTCGATTGAGACTTATTCGTAATCGAACCACCAAATCTCTCCGTGAGAGGAGTAGATTGTGCCTGAGGGCCACATTTCTGGAAAATAATCACATAAAAGCACCAAATTTCGAGATTATCCATCTCCGTTAGGAGAGCGACTGATTTCTCAGTGTTATCATCAACAGCTTGAAACGCCGATTAGAAAGAGAGTGAATAGGAAAACATGCCGAGGCACTGGGAGTTTTACTGCAAAAGCCAAAGATTCAAGAGGAGCCCAACATTTTTGCGAAATCATTTTTTCCTCCGAATACCTCGGTGCCTAGCAGCTTCGTCAGCGGACCCACATTGCAACAGTTAGAAGAATGATGACTGTTATTGAGCTACCTCCAATTGACCTGGTCCTTGCCTCGGCTGGTGTGAAGTGAAGTAACTACCCTTACGGGAGCCCCGCTTCGAAGTTCTGACTGGTCAGTACTTTGAAATCACCCTGTAATGGGTGGGTTACTTAGTCAATACTTCAAGGCTTAAGCAAGGCCGCTACCACACCAGCGGATGTAGGTCCAGCTCGACTGGATTCAGCACAATACCCAACCTCGCTTTGAGTCTAATTGCTATACATATTTGAGATGACTGAGAAAGGTGCTAGTAAACTCCGAAAAAACCTGAGGAAGACATAATTTTGGAAAAAAAAACTTTAGATTCTTTTTCATTCTTCGGGTTTCCGTGAAACTTTTGGTGCCTTTGCATGGTCTCACATTCATTTCTACACGAAGACGGAGATGGCAGTACATTACCATTTGAATACCGTTCAAATTTATCTTCAAATCGCCGCAGTAATCCTGCTGTGCTGGCATTGATGCTGAGTCCTATCGAAATACTCCCTACGAAATTCTCCGGGTTCAATTCTGTTTCTGCGCCCAACATGATCTCCCGGAGGAAGCGACCCCACACAGCGGATCTATGACAATGCTTGCAGCAAAGTGTAAGGTTGCTTTCACACTTTGCGGCAGTCCACCAGCGTCGAGCGTCCGGCAGCGTCATTGACTGGGAAAGTATAGGCATCGATCTAGCGTCTGTGAGCGTCTACCATTGTGCGACAGCGTCTTCGACTTTCGCCTACAAGCGTCCACCTTGCGTTTCGAGCGCGTATGAGAATGCTATTAGGTATCGCACCTAGCATCTGCTGTCCAGCGAGTGCCACCGTTACCAGCGATCGACCAGTGTCCGGCGGGAAAGGATTTAAGGGTATTGGCGCGGGTAAGGGGGAGAAGGTGGGACAGGAATGGTAGAGTATGGGGAGATAGGAGGGCGGCAGACTGCTGGTGGAAGTATGGCGCGAAGGTGAGTACCAGCTGTCTGCTACCCTCGCGCCATACTCTCCTCTCCCGACGCTGGCAGATGCTGGCGGACACTAGATTGATAGCTACACTTCCCAGGCTCTCGAGACGCTGGTAGACGCTGGAAGACGCCGTGTACGCGTGCGGTGGCACGGCTGGCAGATTGTAGGTGAATCGAATACTTTTCCGAAGTCGGTGACGCTGTCGGACGCTCGAAACGTACGCAGAATAAAATTTACCAGGATAGGTGTGCTTGAACATCCTGGTTCTTGCATATGTTCAAGTTCGGGCAACGGCGAAGTCGAAAGGTTTTGGAAAGAGCGAACATGTACTGGAGCGACGCCAACATCACCTGAAACACAAACTTCTTTGACAGTAAAAATAATTTTCTCTAAATTTTTCACCAGCTTCGGCAAGAGCACTATGCTGGATGGAGCTCCTCGTCCTTCGTGCTCGCAACGATACGCGACCCTGCAAATTGTTTATATTATAACACCACAACAGTTCAACATATTAAAAGGAATACCAAAGTATATGTAAGTCAAAGTTAATGGGTGACAAAACAATTAATCAGATTTACCCGGGGCGTCGCTGCAGAAACCATAGTGGTTGTGACATTTGTGCTGTCTCCATTCGCACTCCCTATACCACGCACAGAAAGTGTTTCGACAGTATCCGGTTCTGTCAATTCCTCAATCGGATCAGCCGCTGGAAAAGAACTTCAACTGAAAACGACAAGACAACTTTTTGTGACAGATCTCACTCCAGTAATACAAACTACGCAAGGCACAACAGCCGCCTCTATGGAAGCTTGGGTAGGCCCGCCCAGCTTCTTGAGCCATGACGTTTACAAACTTCTAAATCTATTGGGTTTCCTGTTCAGTTTTGCAACATTGATTTCTTGCGTTTCCCTGTTGCAACGTAAGGCAGCGTTCAGACTTCGCGACGGCAGCGCCTCGGTCGCACCTTCGACGCGATCGATACGCATGCTTTCAACTGCATCGATCGTGTCGAGCGCACGACCGAAGCGCTGCCGTCGCGAAGTCTGAACGCTTCCTTATAGGGATAATATAGTCACGATCTCTGCGAAAGAAGCGTGTGTCGGAGCATCGATTGAAGCACTTCAAGGTGACCTTCCACCAGTGGTGCCATCCTGAGTCAGCAACAATCGACGGGAAGTTGTCCCGGCTGCGATACACTCAAACGCCCTATCGTTTGCAAGGAACAAGACTGTAACCGTTAGGTTGGTCAACGTCTTCTGAGACACTTTTCAGTATTGATTTCTGAACTGCTCATTCTCTTCGATAAGCCTTCCGATAAGTTTTCAACCACTGCCGGACCCTCCATCGGTATCCGCGACATGCTCCTAACGTCCAAATGACTTGAATCCCCCTAGTGGAAGCTAGGGACGTGCAGTTTAAAGGCGGCACAAGGTCCGTTTTGAGGCTACCTTCTCTGACTAAGTGGTGTCCTTCCAAATGATGAGCCAAAGACTGTAAGAGGGGGCGGAGCAGTGTCAGAGATATACGATGGGTGCCAAAGAGCTGTCCGGTAAAGAGCGAGCAGTTTTTGTAAAATACCCACTTTTCGTCTTCAGCAAACACGGCCTAGGGGAACCGGGTCAGGCATTCCCAATTTGTCGCGCTCGCGCGCGCGACGCACGTGCTGGCTTAAATCTAGAGCGCCTCAATTCGTCGAAAAGAGCAAATGCAACACCACTGAATTCAATCGGAGACAGGAGAGCGCGCTGGCGAGATTGAACTGCCCTGTCCCTCCCATATTCAACGGCCAGACAGTACAATTCGCCTGTCGTGCGTAACGTCGCTCGCCACGCCCACCAGCGTGGCACACTGCTACAAGAAATAATTCTGGAAAAAACTTTTGGATTCTTTTTCATTCTTCGGGTTTCCCGTGAAACTTTTGGTGCCTTTGCATGGTCTCACATTCATTTCTACAGGAAGACGGAGATGGCAGTACATTACCATTTGAATACCGTTCAAATTTATCTTCAAATCGCCGCAGTAATCCTGCTGTGCTGCATTGATGCTGAATCCTATCGAAATACTCCCTACGAAATTCTCCGGGTTCAATTCTGTTTCTTGCCCCAACATGATCTCCCGGAGGAAGCGACCCCACACAGCGGATCTATGACAATGCTTGCAGCAAAGTGTAAGGCTGCTTTCACACTTTGCGGCAGCGTCCACCAGCGTCGAGCGTCCGGCAGCGTCATTGACTGGGAAAGTATAGGCATCGATCTAGCGTCTGTGAGCGTCTACCAACGTGCGACAGCGTCTTCGAACTTTCGCCTACAAGCGTCCACCTGCGTTTCGAGGGTATGAGAAGTATAGGTATCGATCTAGCGTCTGTGTGCCAGCGAGTACCACCGTGTACCAGCGTCGACCAGTGTCCGGGGGAGAGGATAGTATGGCGCGGTAAGGGGGAGAGGGGGAGCAGGGAATTGGTAGAGTATGGAAGATAGGAGGGCGGCAGACTGCTGGTGGAAGTATGGCGCGAAGGTGAGTACCAGCTGTCTGCTACCCTCGCGCCATACTCTCCTCTCCCGACGCTGGCAGATGCTGGCGGACACTAGATTGATAGCTACACTTCCCAGGCTCTCGAGACGCTGGTAGACGCTGGCGAACGCTGGAAGACGCCGTGTACGCTGGTGGACGCTGGCAGATGTTAGGTTGATATCAATACTTTCCGAGTCGGTGACGCTGTCGGACGCTCGAAACGTACGCAGAATAAAATTTTACCAGGATAGGTGTGCTTGAACATCCTGGTTCTTGCATATGTTCAAGTTCGGGCAACGGCGAAGTCGAAAGGTTTTGGAAAGAGCGAACATGTACTGGAGCGACACCAACATCACCTGAAACACAAACTTCTTTGACAGTAAAAATAATTTTCTCTGAATCATAGGCTATAGAGGAAATCACAGGCTATACGTATGCAACCAGAGAATCGATGTCAGTGGAAGGGAGGAGTTCAAACACCTAGAGGATATGTTTTCCTCTGTGTGTTTGAGGCCTCCCTGTGATATTCTTCAATATCTATGTTGACTTCGCAGTCAAAGAGAAGACCGTAGAGAGAAAAGGGTAGAGCCTTTGAGGAGTAACCATCGTAAACATAGCGTGAAAAACGGAGGGGAAAACGTACAGTAGTGCACTGAAGAGGCGCTCCTTCCGCCAATGTGGCCATCGACCCGCACGAATCATTGTGGCCTGAAACCAGAAATCAGTCCCTGAAAAACAACAACACAACAAGCAACTGTTGGTGAACTGTAGGAACGAAAAGACTGCGTATATCCTTCACATTCTCCAATTTCTGCGGTGAATATATCCGCCTTTTTGCAACACAAAGCAATAAAATAAGCTCATTGGAAACTGTGCAAAATTAGGAGACTAGGAGATTGTGCACGAAGGGAGTACATGGAGCCAAGGGAACAGATGATGGGAATCGATCGACTATTTTGTTCTTCGAGCCTTCTTCTCTCCAGTGTTACGCTGCGTTCATATTCTGCGTCGGCGATTCGAGCGTACACCAGCGTTTTCAGCCAGTGCCCGCGAAAAGCTCAAATCTACTCGCGAAACGCTGAAAACGCTGTCGTGAGCTCAGAACGGTAGCTCTATATCTATGCTTTCCTAGTTGCCGATACCTATACACTCTTAGTCGCTTAAAAAGCTGGCTCAAAACGCCGCCGTACGCTAGATCTATGCCCATACCTTCCTAGTAGATCAAAGATGCTATTATATGCCCCGAATGCAGACGAAATAGGAATGCTGTCTAACTTAAAAATGCTGCAACGGAGTTCGCTCCCATTCTCCCACGTCCCTCCCACCGCCACAGGTTCGAGGGACACAATCCAAGCAAACAGTCGCGAAGTATGAGTACACATTACCGAACAAAAAAGTAGGAAACAACGCAAGAGAAAAGCTTAAATAGTAAGGGAGACACACCAGGCGAGATTCGAAGAGATACGTCAAAGGCGGCTGCCAGGCTTGAGTCGTCCGAGTCAGCCATGGGATCATCTGAACGGCAGAAATGATTCAATACCGAACCTCAAAACCATTTCCTGTATTTGCCGCAATCTTACCTTCACGAGTTGAATCCTCTTTTGATCTACGAGTAGGTGAATGACTAGGTGGAATCACTGGCAAAACGCAATCGTTGAGGTCATCAAAGCTGTCCCTTGTACTCGATTGAGACTTATTCGTAATCGAACCACCAAATCTCTCCGTGAGAGGAGTAGATTGTGCCTGAGGGCCACATTTCTGGAAAATAATCACATAAAAGCACCAAATTTCGAGATTATCCATCTCCGTTAGGGAGGAGCACTGATTTCTCAGTGTATATCAACAGCTTGAAAACGCCCGATTAGAAAGAGAGTGAATAGGAAAACATGCCGAGGCACTGGGAGTTTTACTGCAAAAGCCAAAGATTCAAGACGAGCCCAACATTTTTGCGAAATCATTTTTTCCTCCGAATACCTCGGTGCCTAGCACCTTCGTCAGCGGACCCACATACAACAGTTAGAAGAATGAACTGTTATTGAGCTACCTCCAATTGACCTGGTCCTTGCCTCGGCTGGTGTGAAGTGAAGTAACTACCCTTACGGGAGCCCCGCTTCGAAGTTCTGACTAGTCAGTACTTTGAAGTCACCCTGTAATGGGTGGGTTACTTAGTCAATACTTCGGGCTTAAGTAAGGCCGCTACCACACCAGCGGATGTAGGTCCAGCTCGACTGGATTCAGCACAATAACAACTCGTTTGTCTAATTGCTATACATATTTGAGATGACTGAGAAAGGTGCTAGTAAGCTCCGAAAAAACCTGAGG